AGAGGAAGAGAGAGCGAGAGAGAGAGCAAGAGAGAGAGCGAGAGAGAGAGAGAGCGAGAAAGAGAGAGAGAGAGCGAGGGATAGAGAGAGCGAGAGGAAGAGAGAGCGAGATAGAGAGAGCAAGAGAGAGAGCGAGCGAGCGAGCGACCGAGAGAGAGAGAGAGAGAGAGAGAGAGAGAGAGAGAGAAAGAGAGAGAGAGAGAGAGAGATTGGGAAAGGAATGACGTTTCTAATTTCTAATTTCTCCGTCCGCTTTTATACATGTACATCTTCAGCATTCCCACCCACCAGGGACCAAAAGCTTGCGTTAACTCTCTTAGTACGTGGCGGGCGCGCATGTCCCAGCAGAAGAACAGAGGCAGAGTTGAAGCAGGTTTCCAACCACCGTACACAGTTATTCAGAAACTCACATTTTCATACTTTATAGTTCGCATGTTAGTGCCCGTTTTTTAAAGTTTCAGTTAAATTAATTAAAGAAAACAACTGATTGAAAAAGGAATATATTATATGCTCCTTTTTTCCAAGTTCCCCAAAACATCCCGTCTTCATGTAGAATGATCAGAATGTGGAACGTCTAAGGGTTAACAGCCAGAGGTCTCCTCTACGGTTCCTATTATTGAGGGCGACAATAAAACAACAGAAATGAGATAAAGGCCTATGTTTTTGTTTCGTTTTAGTAACAGCCTTACGGCTCTGGAAACACCTTAAGGTCACATAAGGCCATTGTTAACTTTGACATGGTTCGTTATTTGGTGTTTATTATACAAGGGCGCTTTTATACCAGTATGTCTGTAGATAAACAGCGGTTCTTTCTGTTGTGCTTTTGATAACCCAAATGATAACGCAGTATTTTCCAATGCATGCCTACTTGTACAAAGTACCCATATTCCATATGCTGCACGTTCTGTGTTTACACATTTAATGGACACACTTTTGTCAAACTCTATTTTTTTTACTGGTTTCTTCAAAGGGTGAAAAGGCTCAGCCATCCAAATTGTGTCTTTGTCGATCAATAAAGTTTTTAAAAGTCATCGATAGTTACAAGTTAATGTGTCATCATCATCATCATCATCATCATCATCATCATCATCATCATCATCATCATCAAGGAGTCGCTCAAGAAAATATATCAGATGTTTGTGAAAAGCAAGTTGGATTATGCTGCCCCAGCGTGGCAGCCTTGGCTGAGTGAGACTAGTGCAAAGGCCCTGGACAGAATACAAAACAAAGCCCTCCGACTTGTATCAGGTCAGCTGAAAACAACACCAACAGAAGCGCTGCGCTATGAGGCCAGAACTGAGCACTACACCACCTATAAAAAAAGAACATGCCTCAAGTCTGTAGAGATGGCTAAGAGATTACCAGACAACCATCCTAGAAAGAAAGCCCTTGATCAAGCAGTCAAACCTAAAAACCGCAGGAAAAGTTGGTTTCGGATGGACACCGATCTAGCAGACCACCTCCTCCCTGAAGCAGAGAATCGATGGCCGATCAATCTGGTGAGAGCTTGTCCATGGGAGACCCATGGCGAAATCGAAATTGAACTGAGAAGAGTAAAAGGAAAAGGTGATGATCCTGTAAAGGCACGTGAAGCAGCTGAGGATATGATCAAAGAGGTTGGTGCGGGTGTGACAATTTTCACCGATGGATTGGCAGTCGCAGGATACCGCGAAGGTGGAGCAGCAGCAGTAGTGATAATAAATGACGAACCACCACGAACAGAAATTATTAAAACTAAAGGTGCATTCCTTACATCATCTTATGACGAGGAATGCCAGGCAATGATGTCTGCCGCACAATGGATTGCCGACAATTGCCACTGTAGGACCAATGTGCTGATCTTGACTGTCCCTCTGCAAGGGGCTTCTGGGCAACAGCTCGGACATGAATGATTTGCGCAGCAAGTTCAGTGAAGACAGATCCACAATAAAAATTCAGTGGATTCCAAGCCATGTTGGAATAGAAGGAAATGAGGCAGCAGACCAAGCTGCTGATGAAGCCAGAGAGATCGAAGGAGACAGACGACCAACGACATACAGAGGAGTCTTTCCAATAATCAAGAGAGAAATCAGAGACCCACCATGTAGAACTAAGTATCAGCACCTGGAAGATGTGTATTCTGGGTACTCCTATAAGCGGGAACAAAAATCTATCACATGTCGCTGGGACCAGGTTGAGCTAGCGAGACTGCGGTCGGACCATCATTGGAGTTTAAGATGGTATAAGAACTTTGTAAATGAAGAGCTCAGCCCATGTTGCCGAAGATGCGGCCATGAAAAGGAGGATATCAAACATATGTTTGAATGTTCAGGAACAATGGCAATTCGAATGGAGTTATTTGGACGAGTGGAGGTGCCGCTAAGCATATTGACAATGGAGCCGGAAAAGAGCCTCGCTCTCACTCGAAGATTTCTTCGTGAAGTCCGCCAGGCCCATTAAGGAAACGAAAAAAAATCATCATCATCATCGTTGTTATTGTTGTTGTTGTTGTTGTTGTTGCTGTTGTTGTTGTTGATATAGTATCATAATGATAACGCTGCTACTGCTAATAATGATGATAATGATGATGTAAAACATAGGAAGCTCCGAAGTAATGTTCCTACCAGAGGAACTGAAAAAACTTAATATAATATTCAGATTGCTTTCAGAAAGAAAGGCCGGAGAGAAAGATAGATAGATAGATAGATAGATAGATAGATAGATAGATAGATAGATAGATAGATAGATAGATAGATAGATAGATAGATAGAAAGACAGAGAGAGAGAAAGAGAGAGAGAGAGAGAGAGAGAGAGACACAGAGAGCGAGAGAGAGCGAGAGAGAGAGAGGTGGGGGTAGAGATAAATAGATAGGTAGGTAGATAAATAGATAGATGAATAGAGAGAGAGAGAGAGAGAGAGAGAGAGAGAGAGAGAGAGAGAGAGAGAGATGAGAGAGAGAGAGCGAGTGAGGGGGGGGGTATGTGTGTGTGTGAGACAGAGGGAGAGAGAGAGAGAGAGAACAAAAGAGAGAGATAAAGAGAGAAGACAGACAGACAGAGAGAGAGAGAGAGAGAGAGAGAGAGAGAGAGAGAGAGAGAGAGAGAGAGAGAGAGAGAGCGAGAGAGAAGGAAGAGGAGGGTGGGGGTGGTAGTGAAGGGGCAGATTCCTTGGAAAAAAATAAGAGAATGAATAAAAGAAACGTACTCACACAATAATCAATAAGCGTGCGCACAAAGAAAGACAAACAAAAATAAAACCCCCCAAAACAAAACACCCAAAACAAAACACCGCTACAAAAGACCAAACCCCCAACATAACCACAAAACAACAGTTTATTCTTTTCTCCTCAATACAAATTCATCTTCCTTTCTCTACCCCCCCCCTCTCTTTCCTTCCCATTCTAATCCTACTCCTTTCTCCCTACCGCGTTGTTCAAAAGAGGGAATCTTTTACTTTCTTTCAGTAGAGCTGGGCGAAAAATCGATTCCGGAACCGATTCCCACGATTAATGCTACGGAAGAAAAGTTCCGACTCCTTTTTACGTAAACCAATGGTTACTAATTACTTTAGTCACTAAAATCTTCTCTTTCTTTTTTTTAAAAAAGAATTTATTTTCGAAAAATAAAAGTTGATGCTCCGTAGTGTTTCGAAATTCTGAAGATGTTCGGAGCCAACCAGGTAACCACCGGAAAAAACACATCTTTCGAAAGTAAGTAATTGAGTTCGGAGTCGATTCCTACGATTCCTAGCTTTCAATAAATAATCGGGAAGCAAGCCGCCCAGCACCCTTTCAGTCACCCATCGCCCGTTTAGAAGGGTCCTCCTGGGATGAGGGTGGTGGTGATGTAGTCAGCGGCGTCGGGGAGGATGTTGCAGGCCAGCTCACAAGCTGACTCCTCGGCCGACACGTACCACGTTGTGTTCTTGCAGCAGTCCCGGCAGTTTTCCTCAGTGATCTTTCCCTGGCACTTGAGGATCTTTCCAGTCTCTGGACAAGTGGATAGGACAGTGGATTCGGTTAAAGGGAGAGGGGGAGGTGGGGCGGAGGGGGGGGGAGGGAGAGAGAAACAGAGAGAGAGAGAGAGAGGGAGAGAGAGAGAGAGAGAGAGAGAGAGAGAGAGAGAGAGAGAGAGAGAGAGAGAGAGAGAGGGGGGCAGGCGGACGACAGACAAATAGATTAGAAAGACAGATAAATTGATATATAGATAGACAGTTAGATAGATAGACAACGGTAGATAAACAAATAGAAACACAGATAGATAAACACATACAGAGATAGACATACTGATTTGCAGACACACAAACACAAACAGACGAATAATATGTAGACAGACAGAAGGATGGAGAACAAAGAGATAAGGAGAAGGAGATGGCAAACGTGGCAGTATGGGCAACTTTGTACCTCTTCTATTACTTTTGTACATTGTAATGTAGAAGTCCAACATAATTTAGCTGCAGGTTACACAAACCGTCCTATCACTATTGAGGTTTGTTTCACCAAAGAGAAGCACATCGAAGTAATAAGGGTCATAAAGTGCATGGAAGAAACAAGACAGATAGACAGAAACAACAGAGGAGAAGAAAAGACCTCCAACCACCGAGTATTAAGGACATGTGGATGTCAACAAGGGATCATGAAAATGCCAATATTATAGTGAACTTGTTTTTGAGGCTTCACGAATTAGAAATGCAGAAATCAAGAGAGAGAGCCCGACAAGCTGAGCATATCCACAGGTAGACATTCAACTTTCAAATGTTCAAAATGTGGCAAACTCTTCTCTGTCAAAACTGACGCATTGGACATAACAGTCACAGAAGCCAAAAATAATTTTTATCCCGTTTTCATCTATTTGTCTATAAATTTGTAAGATCACACAGCGCCAGATATGTACCCCCAAAAACAAAGAAAGGAAGATATAAAAAAGTTTTTTACCCCCTAGCATAAGGCTTTTGTCAGAATGAGAATAGAAGTGTAATGCTCTTGGAGTATGTATCTATATATAACTCCAAAGGTCTTGTATTTAGATTCCCGCATGTGGCAGATTGATGCATTTGATGTGAATGTACATTTTGTCAGCTTTTCTTCTCTTTTCATATTGAATTGTAATGAGAGTAATGTACAATTTAATTTTTTAAATGTATACCTGCATGTGTTTTTACGGTCCTGTACAACCAAGAAAAATTTCCCTCTGGGATAATAAAGTAATATCTTATCTTATCTTATAAGAAACGTTCTCCTCACTGGTCATCGTCAACCATCGACATCATCATCAATGCCTTTCACCCCTGGCAGGGTATAGGCCACATACAAGCTCCTTCCATTTCTCTCTATCCTGGGCCATCCTTCCTAACTCGTTCCAAGTGAGCCTCATCTCTCTCATGTCCCTTTCCACACATCTCCTCCATGTTTCCCGTGGCCTACCCCTGCCTCGTGCTCCCTGTGGGTACCATTGCAGTGACTGTCTTGTGAGGTTTCTGCTGGGCTTTCTGAAGGTGTGTCCCATCCAACGCCAATTTCTTAGTCCTATTTCTACTTCTAGATCCTTTTGTCCTGTCCTTTCCCATAGCTCTTCATTTCTTATTCTATCCTGCTACTTAATTCTTAGGATACTCCTCTTACATCTGTTGATGAAAGTCTTTACTTTATTCAGCACTGTCTTTGTTGTCTTCCAAGTTTCGCAGCCGTAGAGGAGCACAGATTTGACATTGGAGTTAAAGAGTCGAATCTTGGTGTGCAGTGAGATGCTGCTTGCTTTCCAGACATTTGATAATTGATTGAAAGCTGACCTTGCCGTGGCGATTCTTGCTTTTACATCTGCCTCAGTTCCAAATTGTTCGATGACACTTCCAAGGTAGGTTAAGGAGTCCACTTCTTCTAGGAGATCGTCTTCCACTGTCACAGCAGGGCTTGACACTTTACCTAGCTTCAATACTTTCGACTTGCCCGGGTGTATACGAAGGCCTACACTCCTTGATAGGCTGTTGAGTTCCTTGGTCTTTTATTGCATCTGATTATGTGTGTGAGAGAGCAGTGCAAGGTCGTCAGCGAAGTCCAAGTCGTCCAGCTGCTGCCAAGGGATACACTGTATTCCATTTCGCTTGCCTCTGGTGGCTTCCTTCATGATCCAGTCAGTTGCAAGTATGAAGAGAAAAGGTGAGAGCAGGCATCCTTGTCGCACTCCGGTGTGTGCCTGGAATGGTTCTGAGAGTTGTCCTTCGTGGAAGACTTGGCAGTTTGTTCCATTATAGGTGGTCTTCACAAGCTTTACGATTTTGTCAGGTATTCCGTAGTGCCGCATGAGTTTCCACAGAGTTTCCCTGTCCACGCTGTCAAATGCCTTTTTCTAATCAATGAAGTTGACCACTAGTGGTGAATTCCATTCAAGTGATTGCTCAGCAATGATGCGCAGGATAGCGATCTGGTCCACACATGATCGGTTCTTGCGGAATCCTGCCTGGTTTCCTCTGAGCTTCTCATCTGTTGCCAGCTTGATTCTCTGCCTGGTTTCCTCTGAGCTTCTCATCTGTTGCCAGCTTGATTCTCTCCAAGGAGTATCCTGTTAAAGACTTTCCCAGGTATGGACAGGAGTGTTATGCCTCTGTAGTTGTTACTCACTGGTCATCGTCAACCACCGACAGACGAGCTATTATTATATTTCTTACTGACCTGCCGACTTCACTTTAACTTGGCTTATTTATCCAGTTTTGCTCTTCCATTCAGGGAACAGAACGGTTCGACGGACAGACACCTTACATGATACAGGCACGCAGACAGACAACTAATCATGTACGTAGACAAAATACACAAAACGACAGACTGCGTCCAAGTCAAACAGACGTGTAGAAAAAACGGACAGACTGGCAGATAAACAAACAAATAAACAAACATACAGGTAGCAGCCAGACAAAGTGAGGGGGCTCTCGTGACCTAGAGGTTAAGGTGTTGGCCTATCGTTCAAAGGTCCCAGGGTTCGAATCCGAGTAGCGACCGAAAAATTTCTTCTTCAAAATTGTCTCCTTTCACCTCCTTTCCTACTCTCTAGCAACGTTCTGTTGCCTGCTTTCGTCTCCTCTTTCTGCCCCTACTCCCTCGTCTCGTTTACCCCATCCTCTGGGCTCCGGACTCTTTCTGCAGCCTTTCTACTGCTACTCCTTGGCTCCTTCTTACTGCTGTTTTTCAGCCACACCCCTAATCTTCTGGTAGGAAAGATCTACACCTAGCCTTCTCAGACAAGGCCGTAAAACACTTACAAAAAAGTGAGAGATAGACAGACAGACAAACGAGCAGGCAAACGGAGTGACAGATATGTGTTTTTACATACATACAGACAGACAGACGTATGATCACAGAGACAGACAGACAGACAGACAGACAGACAGACAGACAGACAGACAGACAGACAGACAGACAGGTAGACCAGCAACTGACCGTTGGCCAGGTCGTCAATGAGCAGTCTCTTCTGTGGAGCGGCAATGGCGCAGGCGATACAGACGACGAGGCAGACGATGAACAGCTTCATGGCGGATGAGTTCTGTGCAGGGGACACGTATGAATGAATGAATGAATGAATAAATAGATAAGTGAGTAAAAGATTTAAAAAAGAAAGAAAGAATAAATAAATAAATAAATAAATACAATTGATGAATCAGTTGATTAGTAAATAAATGAATCACCAATAAATAGATAGATTCTACATGAATGAATGAACAGACACCCAATCCTAGATAGATAGATAGATAGATAGATAGATAGATAGATAGATAGATAGATAGATAGATAGATAGATAGATAGATAGATAGATGAATGAATAAAGAAATAAATGAACGAATGAATAAAAGAAGGAAAGAATTAATCGATGAATGAATGGAGGAATGAATGAATAACTTATTTGATTATTGAGGTATTAATAATGTCTTGGGAACAGGGTGGGACGGAGTGGGTTGGTTACAAAGTTGCCAGTGGTACTCCAACGGCAGATGACAGTGGGATAAGCACGAAATGCGTTGTATACAACGCAGCCTACAGCTGTGTAAACCAAAAACTGTTGCTGAAAAAATACTATTCTAGCGGCCTCTCGATGACATCCATCCGCTTTTTGCCAGGACTTGCTAGTGTCACTCATGTCGTTTAGTTTAGCTGGTTAGCCAAGACCGTTTTCTATGGTGTGGCCGAGATTTCTCTTTTTGTTTCTTTGCCTGGGGTTATTGCGAGTGTATGGATTTAACACTTCTGTAAACATAATTTCATAGAAAAATAGAGAATAGAATGGTTTGGCCATCTGTTAGGACTGTCAGTTAGCCAGCCAGCCTCGAGAGCCAATAACACCAAGCACTCAGGCTATAAAGGAAGAAATAGACCACGCAAAAAATGGATTGGGGGAGTAAAGGAAACTCTACGAAATTAGGATTTCCCAATTGAAAGAGCTGCAGAGCAAGCATATCATAGAAAAAGCTGCATGCCCCTCGACGCTTAACGGCAACAGAAGATGAAAAAGCAAAAGTAGATGTATCAATACCATAAAGTTATTTTAAAGGTAGGACCTCCGAATTGAACGTCTGTCTCCGATAGGACGAAGCCAGATGGGTTGAAGGACTTTAAAACTCCCCAAAAACGTCTCGAATTCAAGAACGTTTAGTCTGGCATTCGAACCAGGGCTAGGCCTTTTTAGACCTAAAAAGCCTAAAACCAGAACCATCTGCTACGTAGTCTAGCATGATACTGACTGAGCTAACGGAGCGCCCAGGTCCAGGGTGTTATGCACAACAGTATTAAAAGTGATAAGATGCCACGGTTTATTGAACCACCTTAAAAATGCACTTTTTTGAGAAATCGATATTCTTCATCCTCAGAACCGCTAAATGAGTAAGTCTATCATTTCTATCACTCTACCCTTATACACGCTTCATATTCAATGTCTTTACGGTCTTCATGAAAACTGAAAGCAGTACTTGATATGATATAATATACCATTTGCTCAAAATCAAACGAAAGTGTTTTAACACCTCCTTCGACACAATTAAGATATTTTAGAAGGCGGCGTTCGACCCTGCTGTCAGGGCCAACCTAGGCTGAGGTGTGGGTACAACGTTCCAGCAGAGAGACGGAGAAACTCAACAAAAATTCTCCCCAAGCGGAAATTGAACTCTTTTGCGTGCAACGGCGTAGCGCATAACGGCCACATCACAGATGCCGGCACTTCATGTATTTGTTAATCAAACAAAGAAACCCAGTAGAGACAAAGGTACGCGTTGTCCGTCTTTTTTTGGTTTTTGGGCGTCCTTCGTAGTTTGTCCATACGAGTTTGGTATAACTGCAACACAAGTGATGACTTACCAGCGGAGATTTGGCTAAGCAAATGAATGACAGAGACAGACTTGACCTGATGGTGAGATCAGTAAGTGCCGGTGGTCAGGTGAGGGCCGGTTTTAACTAATGATGACCTTATAGCCAGATGCGTTACGTCATACAGAGACAGATCGTGTGGTCCTTATCTTTTCTTGCATAGCGGACTTTTAAGGAGTGCCATCATTAATTTCTTTTCTAGTCTTATTTCCATTCGTCGTCAACATCTGTCTCTTTCGTTGAATATATCTAAGAATTTATTCAGTCTTATTGTAAATTTAACTTTAAAATTGTTTGCCTGGTAGGTGTCGCAATGCCTCGTTAGATTAGCTCGAGCAGAAATCGAAACTTGGGGAATTGACGATACCGAGTCCGTCCGAATCCACAGTATAATGCCATCGACTTATTGGCAATATTTGACAAAAAACATTTGACATATATTTTTTCGCCTCTGAGTGAGATGCAGCGTTGACCAGTTTAAAACTTAAGAGATTTCTGTCTTTTCTGTAAGCCAGTGTAAGTCCTGAAATAAAAAGTCGATCTCAACTATTTGGTGAATGGAGAACAGTGGAGACGTGTTGTTTATTTGGCTTTACTTTTCTTTATTGCACTTAAAAATGTTGAACATCATGTTTGTCTTAAACTTGATTGATTAGTGATTTTGTATTACATGCTAATCTGCTAGCATTGTCAAACAAATACAGGTGTCTGGGGTGTAGCAGTTAGGTGCTTCACTGTCGCACACAGGACATCCAAGTTCGATTCCCGAGTTGGGAGAACATTTTTATCGAGTATCTTGGTTTTTCTACTGGGATGTTGTATATCTCTCAGCTTGAACTGGCCCTGACAAACAGGGCCGGAAACCCATCTCGTAAATGATTTAAATTGTGTCGACGGGGACGTAAAATTACCTGTATCAAAATAAATAGGTATTTCAAACAAACACCTCAGGTTTGGAAATGTATTCATCGGCAACAGTGACTCGAAAGAAACGGTTCCGACGTCCCGAATCTGCCAGCACTGTTTACGACGGAGTTCGCTGAGGCTGGGGCGGAAGGGTATCAAATGCCCCGCCCTATGATGTAATAAGCTTGGCTCTATCTCTGTCTCCTGGGACGAGACTTTCAGGATGAAGGAACGAGAAAAGGTTCCTGAAAATGCGATGACTGCAAATGCGTCACCAACGGTCGTTAGTCTCAATATCTAACTTTCATATTTTAAAAAAATGTTTGTTACTTTTCTTTCGTTTTTGGTTTCGTTTTTTTGAGTTTATCCTGAATTCATAATAAAAAGGCGCAGTACATCATATTAGCAGAGAAGGTTTTCCTAGAGCATGCAGTGGATCGATCCTAGAACATAACCTTAGAGAGGAATTTTAGTGAAATAACGAACTCATCCATAGACTGGAAATGTATTATATTATTCTTGATAGTGCACTGTCAAGGCCACCACAGTTTCGTTGCAGTCGTAATCAATCCACTTACATCAACATTTTTGAGAATTTTCGATTTTTGCGTCCCCTCAAAACTCTGTCAAAGATGTACCTTTCAACGTCACTAAAATGCGGTTTAATGCTTACCAAGTTTCTTCCTTTTAACGATTCCCAGTAGGAAGAATACAATAAAAACTAGTTTTTTTTGTCTCTGGCATTAAATGTACCCTTTTTAGATTTAGTAGAGGTTTTACGGCGCTCCCAACAGCATAAGGCCATATGAGCGCCAGAGGATTAGAAGTGTTACAAGAGAGTAACAAACATAAAAAATGAAAAAGGGGAGATAAGGACGATAGATGTTTCATAGGAAAGAAGAAGCAAACCCAACCAGAGCACCCGCGAACCACAATGTACCCCTATGGACTTAAATGGATAGCTTGGGAAACTGACGATTTGTTCTCAAAATGAACTTCGCTTCTAACCGTGCCCACTAAACGAAGGGCAAAACACCAGTCTCAATATTGTCGAGCGCAAACGGTAACATTCTATCGCCCCCTCCCCCCTTTCCCCGCCCCCTTCATTTGGCACCAAATCGAGTATGAACTGGAACTACACCAAAGTGCACAGTCTAAGATATCATAATACAAATCTATGAACCTATCTTACTGTTGCTGCCATTATGATGATAGTGTGCTTTTTTAAGGTGACAGAAGGAAACTTCATTTTCTTCAAAAGTGTCCCTAAAGTGGCACTAAATACCACTGTTATAAAGTTACGTGCGATTGTTTCCTACTTAATTTAATGAGCCCAGCTTTAACGCATGCTGTGTCTGCGGAGCATTTC